GGGGGGGAACGTGCAGATCTGTCCTCGCAGAGGAGGGAGAGCTGGTACCTGAATAAAGCTTGGTCTTAAAGGTGCCACTGTTTTGGACGGGGGGGGCTCTGCAGCTTACCTGGCTGCTTCTTGCTCTGACTGAGGGCTGCTGGGAGCAGGGGGTGGGGCTTGTTGCATGTGCCCGCCCTCTGGGCTCCACTCCTGTGCGCTCCTGCAGGAGATGACCCCTGCCCCGTGCATCTTCCGACTTCTCATGCTGGGCAAACGCAGGGCAGGGCGTCCACAGCACATCTCTGTGTCTAGCCGAGTCGGTGTGTGAGAAGGCAAGTCCTCGAGGTCAGAGCTGCGTTCTCTCCCTTCCTTCAGCTCCTGTCAGCAGCAGCTCCCCGCCACCGGCGTCCCCATCACGCGGCAGAGGTTTGACCAGATGCGGAGCATGTTTGAGGAATACGTCCGAAGCAGGACCCTGCAGAATTGGAAGTTCTGGATTGTATCCTTTTCTGTGCATCTGGAAATGTGGCCCGTGGGGCGGTGGGGATTTATTCCTTTTCCAGCGGAACTGGTGTCTGCTTTGATCTTCTCCTACGACCCCTATGGGAGCTGCAGGGTTCAAATTCTGCAGAGGGCAGCACTGAGCTTTGTGTGGCGATCTGCTTCTGCCCGGAAGCCCCTCCTGTTTCAGCCCAGACTGGCAGCGTCTGGTCTTTGGATGGTGACGAGGAGGCACCCCGCAGATGGTCAGGGAACGGCAGGTTTCAGAGCCGAGCTCTGGCCTCCCAAACAGTCCCAGAGCGGAAAGGATTTCCGGGAGCCTCAGCAACCACATTTGATGCAGCCGATAAGAGCTGAGCCTGAGCATTGCCTTGCTGGGTGGTTCAGCCGTCTGTTTCCGTCAGCAGCTTTCTGCACACCTCTGGTCCACCGAGGAGGTCCAGCAACGGTCCCTCTAAGCTGTGGAGCCTTGCGAGCAAAAAATCTACTCTGTGAGCTACTGGCAATAAAGTTGTGAGCGAGCGATTTGGCCGCTGCAAAAATTAGTTTGCTCTGGAGCCATCCCTTCCTGAGCTGAGACAAAAATGTGTGAGCCAGAGGCTAAAAACCTGTGAGCTAGCTCACACTAACTCAGCTTAGAGGGAACACTGCTGTCCAGTGTGGTTTGCAGTTGAGGGAACTTTCCCTAGAAAGTAGGCGGTCAGCTTTGAGGCTCGCAACGGAGGCCAGTGGGTGAATCTCCTTGGCCCCTGCTTGCGTTTAGACCCCAGGCTGTAAGGACCACCCTTTTCAGTGGCATCCAGGAGCAGTTAGAGGCACCTGTGTGGTGCAGATTCAAAATACGTGTGTGAGCCAGAAGCTGCTGGGCCCTCATGGAGCATCGATAAATGTCGGGGTGTTGTCCTTGAAAAAAAGCTAGAAGGGTGTTTTGCGTCACGGCGGGGAGGTTAGATAGGGGTTTTGCTCTCTGCCTGGAATTCCCTGACCAGCCTGAGAGGAGGCCTGGGTTGTGTCACCGGGAGAGGCGACTCATCAGAAACCCGATGGCTCCAGATAGAGGAGAAACAGGAGAGACTTCAGCTAAGATGAGGGTGGCTGTGCTCACATCCTGTGATGCTATCAGAGGCGGCCGGGTGGCAGAGGAAGCTGTTTTGATTGCAGGGCCCTGTCATTTCCTCATCGGGGCTGAACTTGGGGGTGTGTGAACTTGGCAGCCCGGAGTATCCCCACCCGCAGGGCTGGGTCAAGCAATATTGGGAGCGGTGTTCCCTCTAAGCCGAGTTAGTGTGAGCTGGCTCACAGTTTTTTAGCCTCCGGCTCACCCGTTTTTGTCTTAACTCAGGAAGGAGGGCTCCAGAGCCAACTAATTTATGCAGTAGCCAAACTGCTCACTCACAGCTTTAATGCCAGTTGCTCACAAAGTAGAATTTCTGCTCACAGGACTCCACAGCTTAGATGGAACATTGATTTGGAGACTTGACTCTCCAAAGGTCATACCCCCGGTGCTACTGGACTTGAATCTGATTCCCGTAGGAGACACAAGTGGGCTGTTTGGGGTATATACCCAGTGCACTGGAGTCATTTCAGCCATGGCTACCCCTCTTATTTGTTCCCAGTATTTGGTCCTTAGAGGCAGTGTTCCCTCTAAGCTGAGTTAGTGTGAGCTAGCTCACAGTTTTTTAGCCTCTGGCTCACACATTTTTGCCTCAGCTCAGGAAGGGATGGCTCCAGAGCATGCTAATGGATGCAGTAGCCAGTTGCTCACTCACATGTTTCTGAACATGGAGGCTCCATTCCGCTAATGTGTGGCTAATACCCGTTGCTAGAGTTCTCCATTGTGAATTTACATAGCTACCTTTTAATAACTGTCTAAGCCGTTGGACGTCACCAGACTGCCTGGTGGGGAACGCCGCCAGTTAATTCTGCCCAGAGTGACATTCTTGTAAGAACAGCAGTTCACAAGCGGCACAGCCACGCCTGTGCCAAAAACGTGGCCTCTGGTGCAGCATTGGGTGGCTTCTGTAGAGTCCTGTGGTTTTGCTTTTGTCGGAGCGTGCCGTTCTAGTCCTCGTGTTTCAGAGAAGTGCTTGACAACACATGTACTGTCTGCGAAAGGCCTTGGGATTGGTAAGGATTTTACTCCTACGAAACCCTCTTAGTATGTGAACTTGGAATGTGGGAAGGATTGTGATGCTTGTCTGCAAGACAGACAGGAGTCATACCAAGTTCTTGTTGCACCCTGAATTTACTTTTAGGGTGTAGCAAGGGCAGAGGGTGCTACAAACGATATTTTCTGATTAGGCTCTTTAGGAATGCTTTGTCCCGGGGGGGGGGGGGAACCTCCTCCTGATGCAGTTTTGGTACTAGACGCAGCCTCGCCCCTGGTTGCAAAACAGTCTCAAAAGAAAAGTCAGATGCTGGGTCAAACAGGTCAGAAATGAATCCTCGAATCACAGAGCTGGAAGGGGCCAGACAGGCCATTAAAGTCCAACCCCCTGCTCAATGCAGGATCAGCCTAGATTGGGGTGTCAAACATGCGGCCCAGGGGCCGGATCAGGCCCCCGGAGGGCTTCCATCAGGCCCACAGTGGAACTGGCTGTCTTCTGCTTCTCCTTCCAGTTCTGCTGCTGCTGCTGTGTCATCGTAGGTTTGCAGCTTACAGATACACACTCGAACAGCATACTCAAGATTGCAACAACAGACATTTTGATGCAATACTTCAGAGCAAGAGGTGTCAGTTATCAGACACTGTTAAATAAACAAAATATCGCACGAGTGCTGATGTTTTAAGTATATTTTTATTATAAGTAAAAAAAACCCCAACCTTTGTGTTCGTGTCCTTTATGAAGTTTATATCTCCGCTGCCTGGCATTACATTTCATGACACGCCTGGCCCGGCCCGGCCCAACAAGGTCTCATTTATGTCAGATCCGGCCCTCGTAACAAATGAGTTCGACACCCCTGGCCTAGAGCATCCCTGACAAGGCTCTGTTCAGCCGCTGCTTAAAGACTGCCAGGGAGGGGGAGCTTACCACCTCCCCAGGCAGCCGATTCCACTGGTGCACAGGTCAAAAAGTTTTCCCTAAGATCCAGCCCGGTACCTTTCCTGTGTCCTGCTCTGTGGAGATCTCTCTGATGTTGGTTTTCTGCAGGCTGTGATAGCCCCTGAGATAGAATCATAGAATGTTGAGAGTTGGAAGGGACCTTGCAGGTCATCTAGTCCAACCCCCTGCACTCTGCAGGAGCATAGCCGAAAGAGAGCCCTGCATACCTACAACATATGTCTTCCCTCTTCCGCCTGTGTGTGTATGGGGGGGACGGGACATGAACGTGTGCTCGGTTTCCCCCTTAACTCTCCGGTCGCCTCTCAGTTCAGCATCATCATCAAGCCCTTGTTTGAGACGTTCAATGGGATGGTGTCCACGACCAGCTTAGAGGACCTGAACCAGACAGCCCTGGCCTGGGTGGACCAGCACTGCTCACTGCCTGTTCTGAGGCCAAGTAAGTAGCACTTTTATTGGGGGGCTTGGTTGGTTGAATTCCTAAAAGTCCTTTCCCAGATTCCCCTTGAGGGCGTCGTCGTGAGTTAAAGCGTCACCAAAACCCCTTCTCAGCACAAAAACGGACGGTTCGATCTCTGCTGCTGTCTGTATCGATTTTGCATACAGTCACTCTGTGGGCAGAAGTCGTGCCGCTGTGGCCTGCTGACAGTGGGCACATCGACGAACTGTGCCAGGAAACACACACACACACCCCAGTGCTTCTGAGATAGCAGCAGGCGTGGCCCACAGATTTTCTGCCCGTGTTTTCCACCCTTGAAAGGCGGGCAAGGAACCTGCTTAAGAAAGAAACACCAACCCGGCAGCTGTGATTGTTGCTGGGCTTGAACACCTCCACCACCCCCGGTACCAAATCCTGGGCTTCTGTTGCTGCTGCAAGAATCATAGAATCATAGAGTTGGAAGGGATCTCCAGGGGTCATCTAGTCCAACCCCTGGACAAAGCAGGAAATTCACAAATACCTCCCCCTCCACACCCCTAGGGACCACTGTTCCATGCCCAGATGACGACAAAAAACTTCCAGGATTGCTTCCTGACCCCAGAGTGCCCATCAGCATTTCCCTGGGCGTGTCAGAAAGGGCCACGGGAACTAAGCACTTGTGCAACCGTTCCTGCCCTCCCTTCTCATGATCTGCCTCAGTTCACAGAATCGGCATTGCTGTCCGATGGCCACCGAGCCTCTGCTTGAAAACCTCCCAAGAAGGAGAGCCCACCGCCTCCTCCCGAGGAAGACCCGTTCCACTGAGGAACCTCGCTTAACTGTCGGGAAGTCCTTCCCGATGTTTAGCCAGAAACCCAGGTGTGATCCCACCTGGGCTCGTGCTGGCTTCGGGGAGGCCTGCTGGGGATTCATCTGAGGGTCTGCTTAATGCAGCTTGGCAGAGGGCGTTCTGAAGTGGCTTATTGTGTGCCGGCTAGGGCTGCCAGCAGTGTTCCCTCTAAGCTGAGTCAGTGTGAGCTAGCTCACAGTTTTTTAGCCTCTGGCTCACACATTTTTGTCTTAGCTCAGGAAGGGATGGCTTCAGAGCAAACTAATTTATGCAGCAGCCAAATCGCCTGTTCACAACATGAATGCCAGTAGCTCACAAAGTAGAATTTTTGCTCACAGGGCTCCATAGCTTAGAGGGAACATTGGCTGCCAGGTCCCCTCAGCCACCAGCAGGGGACGACCAGCATAGGGTTGCCAACTCCGCTGAGGAACCGCCCTTAACTGTCAGGAAGTCCTTCCCGATGTTTAGCCAGAAACCCAGGTGTGATCCCACCTGGGCTCGTGCTGGCTTCGGGGAGGCCTGCTGGGGATTCATCTGAGGGTCTGCTTAATGCAGCTTGGCAGAGGGCGTTCTGAAGTGGCTTATTGTGTGCCGGCTAGGGCTGCCAGCAGTGTTCCCTCTAAGCTGAGTCAGTGTGAGCTAGCTCACAGTTTTTTAGCCTCTGGCTCACACATTTTTGTCTTAGCTCAGGAAGGGATGGCTTCAGAGCAAACTAATTTATGCAGCAGCCAAATCGCCTGTTCACAACATGAATGCCAGTAGCTCACAAAGTAGAATTTTTGCTCACAGGGCTCCATAGCTTAGAGGGAACATTGGCTGCCAGGTCCCCTCAGCCACCAGCAGGGGACGACCAGCATAGGGTTGCCAACTCCAGGCTGGGGAAACTCATGGATATCTGGGGACAGGGACCTCAGTGGGGGAGAATGCCGTAGAGCCCACCTTCCAAAGCATCCATTCTTTCCAGGGGAACTGACCTCTGTAGTCTGGAGAGGAGGTGTAATTCCAGGGGATCCCCAGGTCCCACCTGGAGGCTGGCATCCCTAGTGCCTAACCCTTTGATTAGGTAGCACCGTTAGTCGTTCAGAGACACGGTGCCTGAACCTTAACAAATTGCTTTTTATAAAGCCTTTCATGAAATTAGGCTAGCGAAGGTACGGAAGAAGGCACGCTTTGCATTGCCGGAGCTGAGCCCTGTAATTTGGGTCCCTCCTAAGCAAGGCTCCCTCTAAGCTGTGGAGTCTCGTGAGCAAAAACTCTACTTTGCGACCTACTGGCATTCAAGTTGTGAGTGAGCGATTGGGCTGCTGCATAAATCAGTTTGCTCTGGAGCCATCCTCCCTAAGCTAAGAAAAAAGTGTGTGAGCCAGAGGCTAAAAAACTGTGAGCTAGCTCACACTAACTCAGCTTAGAGGGAACACTGCTCTGGAGGCAGCTCTAATCACAGAAGAAGAGGAGGAGGAGATTGGATTTATACCCCTTGCCCTTCACTACCCAAAGGAGTCTCAGAGCGGCTTGCAAACTCCTTTCCCTTCCCCTTCCCACAACAGACACCCTGGGAGGTAGGTCGGGCTGAGAGAGCACTTTTGAAGACTGCTCCTGAGAGAACAGCTCTGAGAGAACTTGTGACTCACCCAAGGTCACACCAGCAGCTGCATGTGGCGGAGCGGGGAATCAAAGCCGGTTCTCCCAGATTAGAGTCTGCGCACTTAATCACTATACCAGACTGGTCGATCCATATTCTCTTCAGTGCTTTGCCGAAGTTTTCTGGAAGCAAATTTGAACGTGCCTGATTTTTCTACTTTTTCTGGCCACCAAAGCCACAGGGTTCATTTTGTTCTCCCTTCTCGTCCTCCCTCCCAGTGGTTCTGAACACCCTCCGACACCTGAGCGTCACCACCTCCATCCTCTCCGACCCGTCCCGGTTGCCCGAGCAGGCCGCCAAGGCCGCCAGCAAGATGAACCAAACAGCTGGAGAAACCTAACCAAACCTTATCCAAAGAGGGCAGCGCAAGCTCCTGAAGCCCGAGAGGGCGGGCGACCGAGCCTCACAAGACCTCAGAACTTCCTCGCAGTCCGTTTGCTGTGGGACCTCGGCCACCAGGCTGTGGGGGGCGTGGCGGGGGGGCTGGAGCCGAGGGACGATCCTTCGATGCCGTGCTTAAGGGGTTCAGTCACACAGGAAAGCCGACTCAGGTAAATAAGCAGGCCAAACGCCTGCTCCAGCAATAGAAGCACTCCTTCAATGCAACATCACACAAATCTATGCAGCACCGGCATTTATGCAACGTGACCTCAAACACCAGAGATGGACAGAGGCAGCAGAGACGAGACCACCACGAGGGGCAGTGGCGTCAAAAGGGAAACAGATGTTCGGATTCGTGAACTGTAAAAAGGCTTTCCTTTTTCCTTTCTTCTTCTCTTCCGTTCCCCAGTTCTTGGTTTCCTCCTCAGGGAAAATGGAAGGCCGGGATTCAAAGACCTGCCTTCCCCAAGTAGAAGCCGGGCTTGTTTTTGAGCAGCGGGTCTCTTCCTTCTTGACCTTGCCCGTCGGCAGCCTGTGACGTAACACAGGAAAGGGCCGAGGGTGGGGAACGTGTCAGAAATTTCACGGGACGCCCAAAAGCCTTCAGGGAGAGGCACCAGGAGACCCTGGTGAAGGACTTCAGTGGGAAATACATCCATAACCAAAAGGAGCAATGGAACATCTCCTCAGCAGTACAGAAGTACACCAGTGAGAGTGAATTCATCCTCCTGACCGCCCCCCCTTTTTAAATGAGATCTTAGTACAAACTATTACTTCAGGAATAGCTTTGCTTTTGTGGCACTGGAGTATCTGGTGCATGATGTCCTCCTCCTGTTAACTCCCAGTGATTAGCTCAGGACAAGCTTGGCCGAAGTGGGAAGCGTGTCTCTTAACAGCGGCACCATTTTGTCTTCTTTCTTTTTTAAAAACAATGCCTTTTCACTCTCCTGAAGGGTTATGCTTTTAGGCAGGCTTTCCTTACGCGATTACAGTCAACTGCGCAGAGTCGTCCACAAAAACGACTGGGCTTCATAAGTAGACTTGTACTAGTCTTCCCACGCTTACCTGTACTGGCACGCTAGCAACCCGGGGCGTGAACCGAGTTTGCGGCATTCCCCCACCGTGATTCTTACTCGGCACGGGTGACGGGTGGGCCGTGCGCCGGCATGCGCTGCAAAGCTCCCCCGCTGAGAGCCTATCTGGACGGGCGACTCAACGGCATTGGCTGTGGTCACCTTTGGAAACGGTCCCAGAAGCACGATAGGTTCTGGTTGGTGGCAGCGCTTCTTCCCGTCTCCTCCGCAGAAGCCGTGCATCCAGTCCCTTAACCACAGGGTCATTTCAGACCCGGGTTTCAAATCCTGATCAACATTAGTCATGAGTAAGATCTGCCCAAACGTAAGCCTTACTGATGGTTAAGACCAGTGCAGGAAATTAGCTGGGGGACATGCGGACTCCACAGCCTGCTCCCGAACAGTTCATCAGAAATACCAGAAGAGTTCAGCAGCAGCTAATCCTGCAACATGCATTTGGCCCCCATTCCTTGAACCCTGTTTCCAGCCCTGTCCCATTAATACAGCTGGCTTCTTTTGAGCAGTCGTGATCTGCATGCCTAGCAGTATCCGTTTCAGAAGGACCGCCTTGTATCACAACAAACTCCCTCCTGGAGGAGTCCTCCTGCCCCGCCCCAGGAATGGCCTGGTCGCCGTGAACCAAGCTTGTTCCCCCGCCTGAATTACGACAATTATTGTGCACCCTCCACTAACACTTTGCCCTTGTTTCGCAACGGCGAGGTGTTGGCTGACCGTTGTCGGAGAGCTGAACAAGCCAGACGAGCTTCCTTTTTGCTCCAGCGAGCTCAGCAATAACCCCTTGTTTCTTAATCGACAGGACTGGCGCAAGAAGGGGCAGGACTGACAGAACTCCCCCATCGTGTCTGTCGGCTCTGCCGTGCAGATTCAGTTTTCTCAGGGCGGCCTTGGCAGGATATTGAGTCTGCCTGTTTTTTGCTTTAAACCCACAGATTTTCTACTCAAACGGGCATTAGAAGTTGGAACCCTTGGGAAGAGCGAGAAGCGCAGCCATAATCATGCCTTGCGCTGACACTCAGTCATGCTGGATGGGAACAGCAGTAGCCAGCATGTTCAGCGGGTGGTGGTGGTGGAGGGGGCCAGTCCCTTCAAGCGGCCCAACAGGCCAGAGTGTTCCCCCGGGGCTTTAGTGGCCTGAAAGCACAGGCTGAAAATACAACTGGCCCATGCCCCCACCGCCACCACTCCCCCTGGGACCCGTAAAGTTGCCCCCAAGGCAGGCCGGTAGCTACAGTTGGGCATGTCGGGGCCTGCCCCCCTGACTTTCTGCCAAGCCCCCCCCCCCGGAAATTCCTTTCCGCCCAGGGCCCCCCAACTCTCTGGCAAGATGTGGTGGCTGCCACAAACGTCCCGCTCTGCTGCCGGGGCCATCGGTTCCCCTTGCCTTCCACCTTTCCGGCGCTTTCTCTCCCCACTCCTACCCCTGCCCTCCCCCTCATCCTGGTAGCACCCTCCAGAGCATCTTTTCTGCAGTGGGGAAAGGCGAGCGGGCAGGCCAGCAGCCGGGGTGGGTGGAGGGAAACACCAGGAAGGAGGCACAAGGCGCCAAAGCTCACGGCCAGGTGGAGGGCGCCACCGGCACCGCCAGACCCGAGAGCACCGAGAAGCCAGTAATTGAATTAGTCTTAATCAAATTAGCCAGTGCCCCCTGAGACATCAAAATGCCCCCTGACTTAGAAATTCCTGGCTACGGGCCCACCCCAAGGTCCTGCATTCTCGTAGGTTCTGTCAGGAGGGGGACTCACACAGAATCGGGGCACCAGCTGGACTGAAGCCATGGGCTGCCCCACAGCCGTTCCCGGGTGGGACAGTCCAGTTGTTTAGGACCACCACGGCCTGCCCTTGATGGTCCCGAAGACCCAACGGTCATTTCACTTCCACAGCTCAGAATGCTTTTTCCTCCAACGCTGGCAGCTGCTGCAGGTTTTCTGGAAGATACCTGCAGAATATTCCACCGAGAGCCGCTAAATGCACTAAGGGCATCAATGCAGCTGCTGCCTCTGGTCCTACCTGGGGGCCTTCAGTTCTCCCGCTGCCCCAGTTCTCCCGCTTGAGTAGGGGTGGCTCCAGAAACTGGCAGGATTTGTACAGAGCCCAGAGAGAGAGAAGAGCTCTCTGACTAAACTTTTCTCTTCCGGGTCTCTCTGTCTTTCTGTCCCATTGACCCAACCAAGCGAGGGAGGTATTCCCCAGGGTTAATGAGCTAAAAGAAGCGCTGCTGATGTGACACTGCGGGGTACGGACAGATACCAAGGCAGGCGAAACGGCTTCCAAACAACGTCCAGTCTGCTTTTAAAGTAGAGAAGAGCAAGAGTCCAGTAGGACCTTAAAAGACTAACAACATCTGTTGGCAGAGGGGATGAGCTTTCATGAGTCGCTGTTCACGTCTTCAGTGAGTCACAAAAGCCCCTCCCCTGCCACAAATGTTGTTCATCTTCGAGGTCCTGCCGGACTCTTGCTCTTTTCTATTGCTGTAGACTAACACAGCTACCCGTCTTGATAGATCTGCTTTCTAAGGTAAATTCAGGTGAGTAGCCCTATTGGTCCAAAGCAGCAGAACAAGGTTTGAGTCCCGTGGCGCCTTTAAGACCAACAAAGTTTTATTCTAGGCATCAGCTTTTTGTGTGCAGAACTTTGTTCTGCAGTTTTTAAAGGAAGAGGCGGAAGAACGGGGGCTGTTTCTGGGTCCAGAGCCAGCGCTGGTCGTTCCTCTGCTCCTTCAAGGTATGGCTTGGTAGGACTTTTTATCTGTTTGTTTTGCTGAGATGGTTTTCCGTTTGACCTGCACCAAAAAGATGGTGTCACATTTGACTTTGATACCCTCGGATTCAGCAAGATGACTTTTCCTCCCCAAAACCTAATTTTCCACTTCCTGCCCCTCAGACTCTACCCATGCACCTTCACTCGGAAGTAAGCTTCATTGGTTTCATTGAGGCATATTACCGAGAAAGAATGCGTAAGATCACAGCCTAGGTGTTTGCTCTGAATTTGGGGGTGAGTTCGAATTTCTCTTCCTTGCTATTTGGGACGGCCTATTTTTATTTCACTGACACCCCCCCCCCCCTCTTGTGCAAAATTGACCCTGTGAGTTCTTTATTTTCATGAGATCTCCTGTTTCCTTGCACCAGTGTTTCCTGTACAAAACATTTTCCCCTAGTATTTGTGTCTCAATAAATCAGCATTACAGGTTATGCATATATATTATATGAATTTTGTACCTATCCAGTATGTTCCATATACAGGTGTGCCCCATGCGTATACCTGATGCCTACACATCTCCAAAAACAGAAGTGAAAACATTTGACAAAAACGCTGGGAATTTCCTCCTGTCTCTACACCAAAGGCATCTAGTCCTGCTGCAAAAATTCACAATTCTTTGCTCCGCACCTCCCTGCGTCTTGAGGCATTTGTTGCCTAAAAGGAAGAATCATTCCCTTTTTGCAAAGCATCTCCGCTCGGAGTGGATTCTTAGTTTCCCTCGGTACCCAGCTGCCGACACGCTTAGGTGAGGCCCAAGCCCAGCAGTCTGTGCACACTCTTGTCTCCCTGGTCGGCCTACCCATGAACAATCTTCAGGGAAACTATTAAGTTGTCTTGTTACATTCACTGGCGGAGACTGTTTTTGGTGCTTTATTGCCTTTGCAGAGCTGTACCCACCGGTGAGTGCAAATCGGCTTCCGTAGACGTGATGAGAGAGCCCAGAGGGAAGCCGTAGCATAAAGAGGGAGGAAATGGCTCGTTCCCTTTTGCAGAGGTGCTTTCTCCCTCCGGAGCCCCAGAGGGGCCGCAACGTGAGCGGCAAAATGGGTCAGTGAGAAAACACATCCGCCAGCGCAGACTGAGCCACGGCCCCCGTTTCAGCAAACAGAGTAACTGGTTAGCTGTAAAGAACAACCGATTTATTGCAACGCTGGTGAATTAGAATCCACTTCGTCAGATGGACAGATCTCACGGCAGGTACCAGACCTTTCCCCCGTGGTCTTTCAGATGCCAGAGGGGCCACCTATGGCCACCCAAAACAGAAGCCCACGCTGTCTGTCTTAGATTGCCCCTCCCTCCGTGCCCCCAGCTCATCTCTTGCACAATATCCAGGTGGTCCGCGGCTTTCCATTCCTGTCTCACAATGAACATCCCGTTACGCTCACACCAACAATTAGCCCAGAACAAAGACGAGTCCAGGGGCACCTTAAAGACCGACAAAGTTTAATTCAAGGTATAAGCTTTCCCGCGCATGCACACTTGTTCAGATACTTCATGCATGCGCGGGAAAGCTTATACCCTGAATAAAACTTTGTCGGTCTTAAAGGTGCCCCTGGACTCCCAACTTCTGCTGCTTCAGACCAACATGGCCGCCCACCTGAATCCAACAATCAGCCCAGTTTAATTAAGCCGTCTTCATTTTTACTCCAGTGGCCACTGAGAAAGGACTCAAAGAATGAACATGGAGCCTTGACCTTTGAGTCAAGGGCTTCCCGGTATTCCTCTGACAAACACAGAACGGGTGTCTGCCTTTTAGGAAGTAACTGGCATTATTTCAGTGCAAACTCAAATTCGGTCTGCGCAGGCTTGTGGGACATTGGAATGGGGGGTTTATTTGGGGTGGGGGAACTTGGAAACTCACGCACACAAACTCTCACAACCGCCTGGTTCACGTGCATGGGAGGAAGAAGGTGCTCAGGTGGACAATCGTGTTTTGGAATGTTGAATAACTGCAAGCAGAACAAAGCCGGGCCAATAAAGGGCATCTCTGTGCTTTGGGCCGTCCCCAGACGGGACCTGCCCCCTGCAGCCTGAAGTTCCACCACCTCGTTCTTCCGCACGTGAGAACCAAACCTCACTCTCCGAGCCTTTGTATGTATTAAAAGCTATAAGATGTTCTTCTGTACGGCTCCCCGTGCCTTTTAAGGGTTGCATTAGAAAGGGGGGGGGGATTACACTTAGACCTTACCAAACTTGCGTAGCGAACAGTCCCTGGAGAAAAATCCCCATTTAATGCTGACTGCAGGAAGCGGTGTGTTCCTTTGCGTCTCCGTAGCCCAAGTACAGATGCTGGGGGGAGGGGGGCGGTCAGTCCTGAAGTCCATAATCCTGCCCACTTTTGCTCTTGCAGATCGAACTGGTACCCCCCTCCCACCCCAGGTCTTATGTGCCCGGCAGTTTCATAGCTAGCTTGTATCAGCCAAGCAGAAGGGGGCAATGGAGCTGGTAGGGTTGTGGTCTGGCTTCGTAGCGTTCCCAGTGGTGTACAGAAGTAGTTTCGATATGATTGTGGTGATTTGTGTTTGGGGGGGGTTGGGTTTTTTGGAGCTGGCTTTACAAGTTCACCCAGAAGCGTGCTTTTTATTTTTAAAAAAAAGGTGAATGAAACTGAAGCTGCAAGCCGTCCGTCCGATCGTTGTCTGGACAAGATTTGCTTCTTTCGCAGATGTGATGATAAATGTTCTCTCTTAATGAATGGATTTTGTTCTGAAAATAGCAACGAGCTTGGAAAGTTGGTGACTGCAGGCTTGCCCTTTACAGCCTGTTGCGAGGGTTTCTTTTCTATTGCATGAAAAGGCAACTCACCCGTTTTGGGTTGCTCTCTCGAAACTCTGCAATTGCATTTTTTTTATCGTTACAACGGAAATAAATACTATTTTTGGGGGGGAAAACAGTCTGGAACTGTAGTCTTTTCAAAAAAAAAATGCTTGGCTGTTGAAGTCTAGAGTCCCTGGGCTAGCCGGTTCTGTTTCAGTTTCCAGTCATCCCGGCCTTAAGAATTCAGACGCGCCCTGACCTGGATAGCCCAGGCGTGCCCGATCTCATCAGATCTTGGAAGCTAAGCAGGGCCAGCCTGGGCTAGTGTTTGGATGGGAGACCTCCAAGGAATACCGGGGCAGGGACGCAGAGGTAGGTGATGGCAGGCCACCTCTGAACGTCCCTTCCCTCCAAGCCCCACTAGGGGCTGCCAGAAGACAGCTTGGCTTGATGGCAACAACAACAAAAAAGAATTCAGAAGCGAGCAGTTTCATGAAATTATTTAAAATCATGATCTCTAATTGTCAGCATGGCCAAATCTGTGGATACATAAAGTCAGAGGCTGCAGCCATGAACGTACAGAACAGATCATTCTATAAACCTGAAAAAGCCCCAGGTTTGCAAAAAACAACAACCCACAACCCATTAAATTGGGGGGGGAAATACACTGAGGGGAGTTTGGTGTAGTGGTTAAGAGCAGCGAACTCTAATCTGGAGAACCGGGTTTGATTCCCCACTCTTCCTCCACATGCAGCCAGCTGGGTGATCTTGGGTCAGTCACAGCTCTCTCAGCCCCACCTGCCTCACAGGGCGTCTGTTGTGGGGAGAGAAAGGGAAGGCAATCGTAAGTTGCTCTGAAACTCCTTCAGGTAGTCAAAATTGGGGCACTCTTCTTGTTAAAAAAAAAACAAAATAATAGAAACAGAACCTATAGTTTTAAGAAAGGAAATGTCCTCTTAGTGACCATTGCTAGGCAACCACAACAGCACTGCCTGCCTTCATGCCTTGGTTTCTGTCAGTAAACAGCAGGGGAAGGCCCTTTCCAGGGCTGTTTCGGACTCTGAAGGAGGACCAGACCTTGCTGCAGCCACCAGCACTTTGGTACCACACAACTTGCATGACTCAACCAAGCCTGGGTGCTTACACTGTTCAACAGCAGCCAACCCACAAAAGCCAGTGTGGTGTGGTGGTTAGAGTTTCCAACTAGGATCTGGGAGACCCAGGTTTGAATCACTGGCTGATTTTGGGCCAATCACGTATTCTCAGCCTAACCTACCATATAGGATTGTTGTGAGGATAAAATGGCGGAGAGGAGATAGATTAAGCAACTTTGGGCCCCAATTGGGGAACAGAGCAGCGTATAAATGAAGTAGGCAGATAACATAGCTGAAGATGGGCAGATAAAATGTGGGTAGGAAGTAGAGAAGGAAGCAGGGAAAGGTGAGAGTATATGGAGGCTGCCAGGAGGGAGGGGAAAAGGAGGTAGCAAAGGGAGGGGGATACAGGGGAAAAGCAGGTCCATTCTCTGCAAAACCTTTCCAGGTTCCCCACGGCTCATCTGAGCCTGGTGGCCAGAACTACACAACTAGGCCATATTTTTCGTAGATAGAAGCTGCTGGGGGTAGTGAAGGAGGGAAAGCTGAAGGTGGCATGCGGGGAGATAGATACATTGGTGGGCAGGTAGAGGAAAAGAGAGTGTTTGGTGTGGTTAGGAGCACAGACTCTAATCTGGGAGAACCGGGTTTGATTCCCCACTCCTCCACATGCAGCTGCTGGTGTGACCTTGGGTCAGTCACAAGTTCTCTCAGAGCTGTTTTCTCCTGAGCTGTTCTCTCAGAGCTCTCTCAGCCCCACCTACCTCAGGCGTCCGTTATCTCTCGTTTGCTGTATGGGGTACCTATATGGATCCAAAATTTTAATAAAAAAG